TTTCCGTTTTTCTCGTGGACCAACCACAGATATGTTTTGAGCCACGGCTCAAAAAATCTTCGTTCCTTACATTTCGCAGATTTCGCTTGTGCCGATTCTTCATTGTCTTCATTCGCCTTCGTATCATCCTTCTCTATTGCAGTTGCTGCTTTTTGTACTTGATGTTTACTCGCTTCGGGCCGTTTTGCAAACGAGAGTTGTGTTGCCCCCTTCCCCCTTCCCAGGGGCTTAATTTTGTTTTCGGTGGCATTTAATTTTCAAGAATAACTATGTCCGCCTTACGAAAGCAAGCAGGAAGAGGCGGAAAGTATGTGTATGGAATCGAAAAACATACACTTCTGTAAAATACCGCTGATCATGAAAATTGAGCCTGTAATGACCAGAATATAATGGTGTTCGCGTTACGATCACGTACTGCTTACTTTGATACGTATTTTGAAATTTTTCTTAAATAGAGAAGAAAAGTCATCAAGTCATGATCGTAATAGAGAAAAGGTAATTTTTTTGCGTCCAATGGTACCCATCTGGTACTAAATTTTTGCGTCTTTTAGGAAGATTGTGAGTCTGAGACGCGGGACGCGCAGGTAGAGGGATCACTGGGCAGGTGCCATTTGTTCTAAACAAGTGAAGGACAGGTTTCGAGTTTGCTTGAAGGGGAATTGATCACAAAGGGGAAGCTATGGGTTATGGATTGATTAACCATTGATTAAATTAAACATGGATTCTAAGGATATTGCGCATTCATCTAATACTGTACATTGCCCTCAGCTGCTGACCTTTTTCAAAGATTATTATCATCTATAAAATAGTTTTTAAGTTTTCATTTTTCCTTTATTTATACTACAGAAGCCTCAGCCATTAACTCCAAATCCATCTGTAGTAGTGCAGATGATGATTGACTGGTCATCAACGTCGATGATGAAGTAACCGTCCAGTGGGTGTCAATGGAAGGGGGGTAGCTTCAATCACACATAATGCCGAATTTTTCATTAAGTCACATTATGCCGAATTTTTCATTAAATCACACAACATGCAGAATTTTTTAACCAATCACGCATCACCTAAAAAAGGAGTATTAGCACGAAGAGGAAATACTTAAAGATTTCAATCTATCGGGTGTATTTTTTAAAATTATATTGCATCCAACTTTTTTTGTTCTGGAATGAATTGGGTTTCACTTGTCATACTGCTTTTTGTTAGACAAATAGAGCTACTTACTCGCTCGAACTAGACGCCCGGAGAGTGTTTACCCAGGCTTCATATCGCAACATCCCCCGTTGGTTGGGGGAGAGAACAGCTGACATTCGGACTACCTTCAAGGTCAAATAGCTTTCACTTATCACTCTAATCAAAGTAATAAAGCATGTGAGTCACACATCACCCACCTGTAAAACAGCTAATCAAGCATCGGGTTGTGATGTCCAGTCCCCCATTTTGTGGATAATTTGGGCTCAGTGACATTTCATGCTGCAAATTTTGGAACAATCACACGTCATCTGGAGTTGCGGTGGTTAGTGCGCTCGACTGTGGATTGAGTTGCCCAGGTTCAAGCCCTGGCTGGGGACATTGTGTTGCGTTCTTGGGCAAGACACTTTACTCTGTCAGTGCCACTCTTCGCCCACGAGAATTAAACTGGCAAATTTAATGCTTGGGGTAACCTTGCGATGGACTAGCATTTCATCTAGGGGGGAGTAGCAATACTCTAAGTCACTTCATACCATGGAAACCAGAGTTAAGAAACTACGCAGAATTGAAAACTTGTATAAGCTCGGTACATTTAGGCCTTATAAAGCCGGTTTGTAGCCATATCTTCTTACAATGTTTTGAACTTGGTTTGTTACCGTTTGCAACAACGCTTTACTTTCACTATCATCTACTCCACCATGTAGGGGTAACGCCGCCAACTGCAGAGTCATGCTGTCAGTGAAAGCGATAATCTCGACTGGGGCTGCTATATTGCTGGTATTAACCTCGCTTAAAGAATCGGTTGCGTGCCCCGCGAATAAAACGTTTTGTTTGTTGCTTATTTCTATCTGGCAGGCTTAGGTGATGGTGGCAATGACCGTGAGGAGCTGTTAGCATCGATGTGCAGGTGGTGCTCAGTATCAGAGTAACACATCATACCACGCCACCGGTATCGGCTGTACGAGGTGTGTCTATTCTTGTAGACGATTTTTATCGAGGGGTACGTGGCGAGGCCGGTCGACATGTCGTGGCTTTCTCTCCCGTCAATTCTCTAACCGTCAGCATTGACATGTATGGCAGGTGGCTGCAGTGCCCATCAGGAATGTCATTCGGATGAATTTGTTTCCAGTGGCCGAGATTGACAGGGTAAAATAACTTTTCTTGGATGACTGGGTGTGGACGTAGTGTTTCTACAGCGTTGCCATGGAGTAGAATTGTACTTCTATGTAGTGAACGATGAAGTAATCCATTGGGTTGTGAGCCTCTGCAGCATTGAGTAGAGGGGTGTTATGGTTGCGAAGGTGCCTGGTTGAAACCTACTGTAAGGGCGTCTATTGTATCGCTCCTTACCTTGCATTTCCCGCTCTTACTTGTTGTGGTGGTCGGTCTACCTCCAAACAAACTCTGGAGAAATAGCGTTTATGCTAGCAGGTCTTCTTATTTAGTGGGCATGTTTGCCCAAGCTGAAGGCTACGTCGGTCCCTACGTCAGAAGTAGGTCCCAGGTCTCTTTCCAGCTTAATTTGTTTGTGTCTCATCCAGTGTATTTGTTCCTCTATTCTTGTTAAGCCTGTTGGCTTTCTGGGCTGACTCAAAGCGCTTTACTTCGGCCACTAAATCTTGCACACTCTTCGCATTTTCGTTTAGGTTTAAGAGGTCAGCTCTCATTGTGGTGTCCTGTAAGCCAATGGCAAATGGCCAATCAGATTGCGACATTGCTGCCAATTGTGGTAAAATTGAACCTTGTCTTATAACGAGACTTTGCTGAATTGTACGACGTACATTGATCACCCAAAGAATCGTTCAAAATTAGGTGGGCATTTGAACGCAATATTGGCCAGGAGAGACAATTTGAAGAAGTCAATTTTCAAATTTAAATTCACAGGGGGGATTACCCGGGGCATGAGGTTGAAGTTTCGAATTGATCGACACACAAGTTCTTGAGAGTAAATCGTCAAATTTTATTTAATGGTCTATTCCGCGGTTCAAGTCTGGCGCGAAATTAGTCACAAAAAGTTCTTCCCAATTGATCCTTCCTACCTGACAATTAGTCCGCTGACTTAAGTAAGAGGGATGCTCTCCTCAGGCATCCGAGACCGTGCAAATGCCACGGAATTTGCTAGTCGAAACCTCACATTAGACGTTTCCTATGCTTCGTACATCTAATAATCAAAAGATCCATAAGACTGGATAACCCCTTTACGAGACCGTTTCGGAATTCTAGAAACCCTCGCTTTTAATATGAGGCAAAACTTTGTAGAAATAAAGGATCATTTTCATATCCAGCTTTGTAGGTACCCATATTTAACAGCAAAGGATTTGTGAATTTAAAACATATCCTATTCTGGGAGCAGCTGTGTACAGTAAATCAAATGAATAAATGCAAATTCGAATCAATATCAGTATCTGAGAAAGTGTGTACCTACCCATCCTCTAATCCATCAGTAACCCTAACTTGTTATCAGTTGTTGGAAGGGGATAGGTGTTTGTGTAGTTGCTCAGATACTTTTATAGATCCCCAAATTCATTGCAACGAAGTAAAAAATAATGTGGAGAAAAGTAGGTATCGAATTGACCAAGTATTTCAACATTACTGCCATTTTATTGTTTTATTTCATAAAATAGCCGCATTTGGTTAATTTTTACATCATATGCCCACTCGGATATCTTAGTGGAGGCTTCATTGATCGATTTGAACTGAATTTACCGTTGTAGTAGTGGCTAGATTAGGAGGAGTCTAGGCAGAGAGGGTTTGGGTTAAGGTCAGTTTAAAACTTTTAATAGCATACTTTACATCTAAGCGTATAACACGAAGTCTAATGAGACACTTTTTCGGGCTAAACACAAGGGAATGTAATGTGGCGTTTACTCTTTGAATTACTTCGGTTTCTTTAGTGCAATGTACGTGATAAATGTCTAAATCCAAGCGACATTTAAAGTCTTGGCTGAAGTGTTGTGTTGTAAAACTCAAAACTGCGCTCAAAGCTTTTCAACGAACCAATTGTTTTGGCGAATAGCCCATTTCTAAATTACCCTTGGCCTCATTTTGAAAACGAGGCCTGGTGCTCAACCATTCTTGTGAAATTGAGTAAAATTTGCATGTGAATGAAAACTGATCATATGAAAGGATGAGCACCAGGACTCGTTTTGAAAATGAGGCCAAGGGTAATTCGGAAATGGGCTATTGAGATTTTAGATGATTAAAAGGTGCATAGTATTTTGTCAACTGGAAATACCACGCGTTTTCTCTTTCTGAGCTACTTTTCGTGAAGGGTTATTAATTATAAACGGCTTTTTTTGAAGCGCCACGCACCCGGGACTCAGATGGGAAATTCCGGACCACTGTAGCCCATGGAAATAGCCAATCAAATTTGAGTATTTAGGGTTCCGGACCACCGAGATGCTTAAGAAAAGAAATCAGCGATACTTGATCAGGTGGTTATTTTTTACTGGAAAAAAAAACTGTTTCACTGGTTAACTAGCGTGCTGCACTCATAACGGATGCTTATTGAATCAAGGAGTTGGATGATAAATAATTTATGAGGTGTTCTGGTGTGAAGTATTGTTGAGTAATTTGGATATATCAACAACGGATATATCACCGACGCAGCCCCCGAACAGTTTGTTTCGAAACTATCAGCCTTTATTTATTTGTATTGCTGATTAATGTGACTCGTGTATATTTTGTTCTGCCCTGCCGGCTCAAAAAAAAAAGGCACAACTCGTTGAAATGCTCAGCGATACTACACACCAAAACATCCAATAAGGTGTATATCTTGATCTCACGCTTGATCGATGACGAATATTTATTTGCAGTTTGAGGTGGAGATGTCTTTTTCCAATTTTAATGGAAATTATCATGACCATCGCGGACAGGGTAAGTTCTAAGAAAAGAAATCAGTATTTACACTTACTTTTTAGAGAAGAGTATTTTAAGAGCTCGAATGACCATTGATATTGGACTTGAAGTTCGAATGAGTCTTGTCGCTGCTGTTAAAATTGAATATTGAAAATCCGAGAATTTGCTGATCAGCGGAATAATGATGCATCATTGATGTATCTTTATTCCGCCGATCAGCGAAAGTGCGGATTTTAATATTCAATTTTAACACCAGTCACAAGCCTTATTCGAACCCCAATATGGCTAGGTTTAAACTAAATGCGGCTGAAGGACAAAATGCTAAGTTTGTCGAGTGATTATGATCAATTCACAATAACCAAAGTTAGAACATAACTAGCAGAGCCGCGCAATCAAATTCAATATACGTGAGCGTGCTCAAAATCTCGATAGTGCACGCTGATAGCGTCAGCAAAATCGCTTCGCCAGAAATTTTTCTTTTCGGGCGAGCGGCCATTATTAGCGCGGAATGGGTAGCGTATGTTTTACTTTGCTCTGGACATTTTAGCTTAGATGCCATCTTTTACATAATCAGCAATTGACGCCGCCATTTACGTTTCATCACAATAGAATCGTTCCTAATTAGTGTACATTGTAGTGTGACTGTATTATATGCAAAATGCTAGCAGGTATAAAACTCGTGAATTTTGGCCCTACTTTTTTATTACTTGGGTTAGTGTGTGCGCGAATAAAGAACTTTGTTTTCACAGAACCGAGTAGTTAACACCATCAGCAATTTGCCTGTCTTGCACTTAAAGTTTGAGCACACCCCCTTGAATGGACCTGGATCAACCATATTTATGGTAAACATTTTTTATCCCCAGTGCAAAATGAGGCTGACAGTGAAACCAATGTCCAAGGATCCGGAGACTCGCCATCAAACGCTCTTTTGACGGAAACTTGGGAAACGAGTGATGAGGTAGATTTCAAATTATGGATACCCATCGAATGAATAAAGTAGAGCGGATTAGTGTACATCTACCGAATATCTGACTACTGAATCCTGTGCAAGACAGCCGTGATTCTTTTTTTTTTAACGGAATTTCTTCAGTGTTCAGTCAGCTTTTCTATCGTAGAATCAACCATCGGAATAATTTATGCAAATCACAGGCTAAGAGCATTGAATGCGCTCATGGCTCCTTAACTGCAACTGAAGATGCCTTCGCACGATGGCGGTGTTGGACACAAATTCTCGGTTACTTTTCTTTCGCACCTCCCAGCGTCCATAACATACCCTGAGAGGATTACGATCAAAACATCTCTCGAGTTGTACAAGTAACAAGTGCATCCCTACGGATACATACTAGGGACATCCGTTTTGCTGAAGAAAATTGTTTTCCTACAATTATTTTTGTTCCCCTTCCGGAACAGATAAAGTCCGAGAGCAAATATGCGAAGGAGCATATTTTCGGACGAAATGGAAGTGATGTTTGTGGAAAACTCGGCGCTACAATTGTAAGTTGAAACGGTAGCCTTCATTTCCTCGGCAGCTGTTCTTTGGGATGTCACACAACGTTCCTTTGAACAAAAATGGCATGACATTCCGAAGAGTTGCTGAGAGGGAGACAATAGCATTTTGGGCAAGGCGACATCAATAGTTTATGCAAAAGTAGACCCAAAGATAATGAGGAAAATACTTGAAGAAGATTATTTTCTTCAAATACTGCTAAGTTAGATCACATTCCCTCCAGTGTGGAGGTAATATGGAAGGACAAAAGCAAGCCATAAATTTGTTTTTCATTATAGAGAAGAGGAGTTACATGTGACGTCTCTGAATGCTCCGGTAGTGGAGAACTGGAAAATCCCTGTGCATCTGCAGAAGGTAAATGTGGGGCTTATTAAGAGCCTCCGACCGTTGATATCGAGAATCCGTGGACAGTTGCAAAATTTCACTGTACATTTTATTTATTCCTGAAGGACCCCTTTGATGAACCCTTTTCAAAAATCTTATAAAAAAAGTTTTAAAGTGCCTTACTTTTTAAGGAAAGTAGAAAAGTTCAAAATACGCCTAGGTGGTCGTTTCCCGCCCTCACCCCTCCTCCCACTCTGTAAAACATGGAATCCCGCTTTGAAATTTTGTATACAAGCAAATGATCCTTTTTATCTTTTTGTAATATTAAAATCTTGTCATTTTGCCACGTGTGAAAAGTGGTTCGTTGGAATGATATGCTTTTTGCAAAGGTAAAATAAGGGTCAAATTTAGGGGCCTATAACTAGGTCTGGCATTTATTTTTACACGTCATAATACACATCATCCTAAAGATTTATCCTTCAAGCTAAATTACTTAAATTCTCTATCTTAGTTCTTGTCGTTGTGCTTTCTTTTTCAAACGTGCAGTTTGTCATCCGCGTATTCTTTTCTCTAATTTCACAGAGGAAATGCGTAAAAACCAGTGGCAATCACACAGGAACAAGTGTGCTAAAATTAGGCCAGATGAAGTTTATATCGAGGCGGAGGTTAGTTTTTCTTCCTTGAGTTTTAGTGTAGTACGGGGTAGGTGAGCAACGAGTCTAAGTATTGTAAGTAAACAGCTTTATTTTATGCATATCGAGATTTACACTCTGAAAAATGCGAAGTAAATCTTTATTCTCAAGCTGATTGAAGAAGCCGAGAGCAAATAAAATGGCGCGTTTCGCTTTTTAAAATTGTTAAAATTCGCTCTCAGAGCTGTTTATTAAGTCAAATAACTTAAAAACAGATAACTGAGGAACTTCTGTGGCGGATTATGAGGATAGAAAGGGTTAGAAAGCATGCAGAACAAAAACTCACAGAGAACACAAAGTGGTGAAATTTGAAACTGTCCAGAGAATTTTTGGAATGGAAAGAACGAAGAAATCAAACACATTTCTTGGGAAGTTCATTAGCTCGGTTCGACGAAGAGAGAGGGAAGATTTTAAACCCTCAAGCTTAAAATGCTAAGTGTCAAGTATTGCGAGGTATTTGTTTATCTTCACCTGCTGTCGATAAGGTTGCATCGTTTCTATCGGAAGCCAATTTATATGGTTTACAGCTTTCATGATCGCTTTTCGAGATTTTAATTGGAGTTTGTTAAGCAATAAATTGTCCTTAAACACGAAATGAATCTCCGTATGTATATGATAAACATACTTCACTATGAGTTACAATGAAATATATGAAGTTCATATATTTTGTACGGCGGTATTAGATACATATGATGCACGATCCTCGCAGTAGATAGCGCTATTTAAGCAATAGCGAAAATCAGACCTGAAAAAAAAAAAAATTATTAACAATTATTATTGTTAGCTCAATTGGTAGAGCGCTGCACTAGTATCGCAGAGGTCAGTGGTTCGAGTCCCGTACAGGCCTGATTTTTTTCAGGTCTGATTTTCGCTATTGCATAAATAGCGCTCTCTACTGCGAGGATCGTGCATCATATGTATACTTCACTATGGAGAGTCTCGTCGGTTTGTAGTTGAAATTTTACTCGTTCGTTTCACTCAATCGATTTCCGATGCCAGGAACTCGTGTATGTATGCCATATAGACAGACTTTCCATGAAGTGCTCCACAGGAAAATTTATTCCCTAACTCATGAATTCAGTATTAAATTGCACGCAAAACCGAGTTCGCGACTCGTGCGACATCAGTTTTCAAGTGCAATTTAACGCGGAAGTTAAGAGTCAATTAATGGATTTTCCTTAAATCGCATAATTGAGTCAAAATAGGGAAAAAAATTCAGAAAGCAGCGTTACTGATAGTTGTTATGTATACGTAGATGTAAAACGATATCACTTAGCCTCGTTTTCAACCCGCAACTCCACGCTAAATACTTCGCTTTGTTAACCAATAAGAATGCGAGATTTTATTTAATGATGCGATTCTATGTTTAGTCTATTCGGCGAACAAATAAACCTGAAATTTTTATTTTCTTCTTTCGGTGTCGAAAAAATGTAGCCACAAAAGAAAGAACAGGAGGATACCTTAGAAATTTCAAGAACTATTTACAACACGATTACACTTTTAAGTTGGTTGTTTTTTAATCGGAGCTTTGTCGGCTATTAACCTATTTGTCCGACGCGAATTTCAACAGAATTAACTAAAAATGACACCACAATTGTCAGTATATAGAGAGAATTGACTGCCCCTAGTTGTGATCTGTGGGAATTTTCTTTTTTATGGAACATGTAAAAGGATGATTTTTCTTTTAATCCAAAGATGAGAATTCCTTTTCAATTTTCAGTGATGTCTTAATTTCGCTTGGCTCATTCAACCGTGTCCTGTCATTGTTTATTAGGGTACGCTCCACCTGTGAGAAGGGATTATGAACAATTTGTAATCTCTCGGTTAACCTCCCGGTTAGCTCAATGGATAGAGCGCTGGACTGTGTGCGGGAGGTCGAGGGTTCGAGCCCCGGCCGGACCAACACTCAAGGTCTTAAAATAATTGAGAAGAATTTGCTACCTTTCTCTAACATCAAGAAATGGTTAGATATTCTAGTCTTCTCGGATAGGGACGAATAAATGGAAGTCCCGTCTCCTGCAGGGTTGGGGCAGGAGACGTTAATTTCCCACGCACGAGATTACTGTGTGATGGATGTCCTCCCCTGGGGTGGGATGGGTGGGTTAGAACAGCAGCTCCACATCAGCTATTACAGCTGCCAATTAATCAACCTGCTTAAACAAATAAAAAATGAAATTCCAGTTGAAAAAAAAAATTCTTGCCTGTGAATGATGTAGGTAGTGGGACATAGAGGATATTAGTAAAGCTGTTAAACGGCCAGAAATATTAACCACTAGGCTTTAAAAGATTGATAAATGTTAAGCGTTAGTGGTAAAATTTGGCAAATTTTAACAAGTTTTTCGGAGGGCGTAAAAAATGTTCACCGTAAACGTTTTCGTTCTAAGATATGCCATTTTGAAAGTAGCAACAAAATAAACTGTTAGTGTCTTTTCTTGTTGCTTATGCTTTTACGACTGTTACACTTTTTATCCTGGGACCGAAAACAAAGAAACTTTGCCCAGGTGCCGTAGTCATATTCTGCGCGCAAGATACATTGACAGACAGCAGACAGCGGTTTCTCCTTCCAGTCTGGCTGTAATGGCGCTTCTGAAATAAATAGCAAGTACTGCAGTTTGTGTCGAGATGGGGAGGAGAAGCTACTCGAGAGGTGTAAGGCGAGGATAAAAACTGGGGAGGAAAACCACTACATGTCATCATTTAAAAAACACGATGTCGATATTCGTGTTCCTAACGAACGAACCAAGAAGTTCTGTATGGGTCATCTGACCTGAAACTATACTGCCTTAGCTAAAGTCTGCGGAAAAAAATCCAGAAAACTATGCGATTTCAACGCAAAAGGCTACTCTATTTAGAATTACCCTTCTTGAATCACCCTGATGGTAAAAGCGAGCTAAACAGAAAGAAGTCTAAGTAATGACTTCAATACAGTAATCCCTTGGCGATATCACTCGGATATTCCCCAGCGAAAATATTTGATGGATCATAATGGGCGTTATTGTTTACTAGAAATCACATGATTTTTCTCGTGCTACGGCTTACAGATTTTTTCGTGCTAATTTATCCCAAATTGCATTCGAAATCGTGCGATTAACTATACTAGTCTAGTGGTACCGGAATTACTTTGGTTTTTTGTCCCTTCCGGAATGAACGCCGTAGTAAATGTATTTTAGAACGATTAAATCAGTTATATACTTTACAAAATCATTAAAATTAACTCTTAACATTACTGAGATACAATGAAATATATGAAGTTCATATATTTTGTACTGCGGTATTAGATACATATGATGCACGATCCTCGCAGTAGATAGCGCTATTTAAGCAATAGCGAAAATCAGACCTGAAAAAAATCAGGCCTGTACGGGACTCGAACCACTGACCTCTGCGATACTAGTGCAGCGCTCTACCAATTGAGCTAACAAGCCAACTGGGAGCAGGCCGTTAAGTTGATTCGTAATAAACCCGTGAAAGTGATAAATGAGATACAATGAAATATATGAAGTTCATATATTTTGTACTGCGGTATTAGATACATATGATGCACGATCCTCGCAGTAGATAGCGCTATTTAAGCAATAGCGAAAATCAGACCTGAAAAAAATCAGGCCTGTACGGGATTCGAACCACTGACCTCTGCGATACTAGTGCAGCGCTCTACCAATTGAGCTAACAAGCCAACTGGGAGCAGGCCATCAAATTAATTCGATATAAACCCGTAGATGATAAATCAAACAACAACAAACATATGAAACATATGTGTGAACTGCGGTTATGAGACGTATATGAGAACGATCCTTCGCAGTAAAGCACTATTTGAGCAATAGTGAAAATCAGACCTGAAAAAAATTTCAGGCCTGTACGGGATTCGAACCACTGACCTCTGCGATACTAGTGCAGCGCTCTACCAATTGAGCTAACAAGCCAACTGGGAGCAGGCCGTTAAGTTGATTCGTAATAAACCCGTGAAAGTGATAAATGAGATACAATGAAATATATGAAGTTCATATATTTTGTACTGCGGTATTAGATACATATGATGCACGATCCTCGCAGTAGATAGCGAGGTCAGTGGTTCGAATCCCGTACAGGCCTGATTTTTTTCAGGTCTGATTTTCGCTATTGCTTAAATAGCGCTATCTACTGCGAGGATCGTGCATCATATGTATCTAATACCGCAGTACAAAATATATGAACTTCATATATTTCATTGTATCTCATTTATCACTTTCACGGGTTTATTACGAATCAACTTAACGGCCTGCTCCCAGTTGGCTTGTTAGCTCAATTGGTAGAGCGCTGCACTAGTATCGCAGAGGTCAGTGGTTCGAATCCCGTACAGGCCTGATTTTTTTCAGGTCTGATTTTCGCTATTGCTTAAATAGCGCTATCTACTGCGAGGATCGTGCATCATATGTATCTAATACCGCAGTACAAAATATATGAACTTCATATATTTCATTGTATCTCATTTATCACTTTCACGGGTTTATTACGAATCAACTTAACGGCCTGCTCCCAGTTGGCTTGTTAGCTCAATTGGTAGAGCGCTGCACTAGTATCGCAGAGGTCAGTGGTTCGAATCCCGTACAGGCCTGATTTTTTTCAGGTCTGATTTTCGCTATTGCTTAAATAGCGCTATCTACTGCGAGGATCGTGCATCATATGTATCTAATACCGCAGTACAAAATATATGAACTTCATATATTTCATTGTATCTCATTTATCACTTTCACGGGTTTATTACGAATCAACTTGACGGCTCCCAGTTGGTTTGTTAGCTCAATTGGTAGAGCGCAGCACTAGTATCGCAGAGGTCAGTGGTTCGAATCCCGTACAGGCCTGATTTTTTTCAGGTCTGATTTTCGCTATTGCTTAAATAGCGCTATCTACTGCGAGGATCGTGCATCATATGTATCTTAACATTACTCTTAACCATAACGGAAAGGAATTGACCGATAGCTGTAAAATGAAGACAATTTTTAACCGTTCATTGTGAAAGCTTTCACCCCATCGAGACCCTCCACATACTGAGGCAAGAACATTTAGGTTGGAAAAATTATTCAAGCAAAAGCCTTCTTTCAGGAACTTGAGAATTTTCTTTCAGATGCCGCCATTTTGTATCCAACTGAAAGAAATTCTAAAGGAAGACTCAGGAACAGCTCGATTTAAAGGATTAAGAGATGTGAAATTACAGAAGGTTGCTGAAAACATATTTTTTGGACGGGAACTTCCAAGTATGTATCTTTGCGTGCTTTATAGTTCATACGTTTCAAAGTTGGAAGGATACGTTGAAATGACTTATCGAGGGGAAGAAGGCTGCAATTTTTTAAATCAGGGCTTCAGCAAACAACAGGAAAATTTTCATATGCTTCCAGAGAGAACCGTATATGAGTACAAGTGGTCTTGTTTCTTTGTGGGATAGATGGTTGCATGATGCTTAGAGATGAAGATGACATGAATAGGGCTTTGTCCTATATGATGATATGAATAGGGCGTTGGTATGAATAGGGCGTTGATATGAATAGAGCGTTGTCAAGTTTTAAAAGGCAAATTAACGCAATGTTATTGTAACCATTTAATTGTCTTAATTTCATAGTTTTGAGGTTTTTATGATTTATGATTATATTTATTTGTCTACATTGTACATTATTTTAGTATTGTATTTATTTATGTCAGGGACACCTGGGAGAACAGAGTGCTGAATGGTGTTCCCTGGTTAAATAAAGCTCATTAAAATATTTTCTTAGTGAGTGACATTAACACATTGGGACAACAGAATCAATTTTGTTACTGTCATTGCCGCATCGCATCAACATTTAATTCACAGCAGTGTCTAGACCGTTTGCCACCTTAAACTAATGTAATGGACCAGCTACTGCGAGTCTCCCACATCTCAATGGCGCAAAACTAGCAAAATAAAGCCATGTTAACGTTAACATGGTAGCTAGGTGGCAAGGCCTTGAAGGTATCGTCTTCATCTTCATTATAAGAAATCTAAGCTTTTTTGATTTTCTTCTTAAGAAGATGTTACTGTGTTAAACTAGTTTCGTCTAAAGAGCCACTGACCATAAATATCGAGAATCCGCCGACAGTCTCAAAATTTCGCAATTCGCATTTTAATTTTTTAGAGGACCCCTTTGATGAACCTTTTTCAAAAATTTTATTAAAAAAAGTTCTACCGTACTTTGCTTTCTCCGAAAGATCGAATAGTTCAAAACTCATGGCTAGAATTATGTGTCTCCCGAAGGGGTTTTTTTGTCCCACTGCTGGGATTGTTTGTCTCTGAAAGAAGGTATTTTGTCTCATGGCTGGAATTATTTATATTAGGAATAATCTTTAAAGAGGATGCCAACGTCACGAATTGGTTTATTGAAGGGTCCTCAAAGGAATACTAAGTTTAGATTAAGAACTAGTTAAACATACAAAAATGAAAAAGATTAAAGTGCCCTGAGACGAACATTGACCATTTTATTTTGGCCTAAATTGTTTTCACAATGTTGAATTGGGTCAAGTTAAGACCCTTTTTGCGATTAAAAACTCAAAACAAGTCTTCGATGACCAATTTTTACCGCTTCAAAGTCGTCCAAAAATCGTCCGCCATTGCTGAAAACATGTACCAGCCGAGCCCGCTAAAACGTCATCCTGACGTCAAAGGCTCAACAAACTTATGCTTTGCTTTGTCACAACTCTCTTTGTTCGCTGCACAGAGAATCACACATATTACTTTTTGGAGAACTGTTTCATTATCAGTCGGGAAATGTCGACTTTTTCAGACGATGAATTGTCCCAGAAATCATCTTAAGCTTCTGTGGTTAGTTTTGCCACGACAAACGATGAATTTTTGCCATGCGAATAAAGATAAACACAGAACGGCACGGACTCCCCATGTGGCTTTTGTGGTCGCATCGCTTTATCGCTTTCGAACTGTATTTTTGCTTGTCGTAAGGGATTTTCCTTTTTTGTAAGAAATGATCGGGTGATTAGTAAAAATAGTTTTCGACAATGGCTAATTGTGTATCCGAAGGCGGATATTGGGAGTTTGTGAAAGCCATTTCTAAGCCATCAATGTGTTTTCCCCAATGCATTTGGTC